TTCCCTTTACAAAAGCAGTGTTGACTCTTTCCAACAACTCGTGTTCATCTGTGTGTCTGATAATTCTGTTTTTTACTATAGTCTTAACCAATTTGGTTGGTACTGACATTAGGTTTACCAACCTGTAATTGCCAGGATTGCCTCTTGAGCCTTTTTTTAAAAAATTGGAGTTACATTCGCAATTCTCCAGTCATCTGGTATACAGGCTGATGTAGGTGATAGGTTATATACCACAGTTAAAAGAAAAGGAGTACTTGTGGCACCTTAGAGACTAACAAATTTATTAGAGCATAAGCTTTCGTGAGCTACAGCTCACTTAATCAGATGCATGAGCTATAGCTCACAAAAGCTTATGCTTTAATAAATTTGTTAGTCTCTAAGGTGCCACAAGTACTCCTTTTCTTTTTACGGATACAGACTAACGCGGCTGCTACTCTGAAACATACCACAGTTAGGAGTTCTGCAATTTCATATTTGAGTTCCTTCAGAACTCTTGGATGAATACCATCTGGTCCTGGTGACTTATGACTGTTCAATTTATCAATTTGTTCCAAAACCTTCTATACTGACACTTCAATCTGGGATAGTTCCTTAGATTTTTCGCCTGAAAAGTGTGGCTCGGGTATGGAAATATCCCTCACATCCTTCACAGTGAAGACCAATGCAAAGAATTCCTTTAGCTTCTCTGCAATGGCCTTGTCTTCCCAGAGTGCTCCTTTGCACCTAAATTGTCTAGTGGCCCCACTGACTGTTTGACAGCTTCCTGCTTCTGATGTATATAAACAGTTTTTTGCTGTTAGTTTGTCTTTTGCTACTTGCTCTTCAAATTCTTTTTTAGCCTGCCTAATTATACTTTTACACTTGCAAGAGCTTATTCTCCTTTCTGTTTTCTTCAGCAGGTTTTGACTTCCGATTTCTGAAGGATACATTTTTGCCTCTAAGCCCCTTTTTACTGTGTTTAGCCATGGTGGCGTTTTTTTGGTCCTCTTACTATTTTTTTGTTTGGGGCATACATTTAATTTTTGAGCCTCTGTTATGGTGTTCTTAAAAAGTGTCCATGCAACTTGCAGGCATTTCACTCTTGTGACTGTTCCTTGTAATTTCCTTTTAGGAGTCTCCTCATTTGTGTAGTTTCCCCCTTTTGAAGTTAAATGCTACTATGGTGGGTTTCTTTGGTATTCTTCCCCCTACAAGGATTTTAAATGTTATTACATTGTGAGTGGTAATACCTGCACCACTTATGTACACAGGGTGTCATGTACGTAGATGGTGCAGGTTGCCAGCCTTCAGTCCTGGTCTCCTGAATTGGTGGTAGGACGAGATAAGGAAAAAGGTACTCTTTCGTGGAGTTGGAGTGGGTTTTTTCCATTACACTAATGATACATGAAGAGCTCACCTAGACTACTTCCAGATGCTGAGCGTTTGGTTCCCACAAGTTTCATCTCAGAGCTTACAAAGGAACAACTACATTGGAATGATGTTCCTCCAAAACATTCCTGCCTCTGCTGAAAGGGAGCCACAGTCCAAATTCTATAAGACAATACTATGCCATGCATTATACTTACCAGGAAGAGGGAGCAAGTTTATCTCTTGTCAGTCAAGAAGCTTTTGAACCTTTGGAACTGCTCTATCTGACATCAAATTGCACCCTGCATCTCCCAGGTGTGCACAATGATTTATCAAGTTATCTGAGCAGGAAATATATGACCAATCTTAGAAATCCAGGTCTGGAAGGGACCTGAGAGATTAGTGTACTCCGTCACCCTGGGTTGAGGCAGGATTAAATATACCTACACCATCCTTGAAAGATATTTGTCTAATCTGTTCTTAAAACCTCCAAAGACTCTGTCCAACAACCAATATTTCACAATTAGGGACTGCTAAGATTGAACTCTTTTCCACCAATCACATCACCAAATTTGCACTTTTTCAGTCCGGGGGAGGCACAAGTTCAAGTTTCCTACACAATGTTTTCTTGATACCCTAGAAGAAGGACTGCTTCTACTGACTTTCTTAGTACTTTTGTTAGGACTCTGCGTAAGGCAGGGTGCAGCATCTGTGATTCTGATAGCCCCTGAATCAGCCAGACAGTTTTCATTCTCAGACTTGTTTTGTCTATCAAGATGGCTCTCAATTTCCTCAGCTGACCTGCTCCATCTTATCTCTGAGTTCTGGACAAATTTTTCACCAGGATTTTTCACCTATGCTTGACTGCCCCGATATAGATTGGCTAAGCAACATGGACAAAAGTTGCCCTTCAAAAGTCAAAGCAGACTTCCATAAGAACAATATACGAGTCCAGTGGAAAAGATGTTCTCTGGGCCTTGGAACAGCACCTTAACCCACTAAAAGAGCTGGCTGAGGAGATCTTTGGCCTGCTGATAATTTTTAATAAATCATGTAATACCAGGGAAATTCCAGAAGACTGAAAAGCAGTTAATGTACCAATATTCAAAAAGGCGAGTTAGACCAGTTAGCTTGACATGAGTTCTGGGCAAATTAATGGAAAAACTGGTGTGGATTCAATTAATAAAGAATTAAAGGATAGGACTATAGTTAAACCATTCAATATGGTTTTATGGAAAATAAGTCTAGTCAAACAAACCTGATTTAATTTTTTGAGATGACAAGTTTGGTTGATGTAAAAGACGTAGGTTTTTGAAAGGCATTTGACTAAATACCACATGGCATTGTGATGAATAAATTATCACTATACAGTATCAATAAAGCATATGTTAAGTGGATAAAGAAATGGGTAGCTCACATCTCAAAAAGTAGCTGTCAATGAGGAATCATTGTTGAATGAGGATGTTTCTAGTGGGATTTCACAGGAATCAATACTAGGGCCAATGCTTTTCAACGTTTTCATTGATTTGGAAATAAAATCACTGCTGATTAAAATTTGCAGATGACCAACAGATTGGCAGAATGGTAAATAATGGTGAGACCGGGGCAGTCATGCAGAGCAATCTGGATTGCTTAATAACCTGAGGCCATAAAAAGAAATTTTTTTACTACAAAGATATATTTAGGAACAAGGAATTGGGGCCACAGCTACAGTATGGGGAACTGTATCCTGGAAAACAGTGACTATGAAAAGGATTTAGGGGTCATAGTGGACATGTAACTCAACACTTTCCCAATGTGATTCTGTGGCAGAAATGGCTAATGTGTGTATAAACTGGGGAGTAGTGAGTAGGAGTAGGGATATGAATTTTTACCTTTATATATCGTATGGCTAGACCAATTGTGGAATACTGCATACAGTTCTGGTGTCTGTGCTTTTAAAAGGGTGTTGAAACTTTGAAAAGGGTACAGAAAAGAATCACAAAGTGATTTGAGGGCTGCAGAACAATGCCTTACAGCGGGGGTGCCCAACCTACGGCCTACATGGCCCACCAGAGCATTTTGATAAGACCCTGCAGCCTGCTTCAACACAGTATATTAACAGCCACTTCATTAGCATTTGTCGTCATGTTTACATCATTTTAATTTACATAAGTGTGTAACTGGACAATACTGTACATAGAAACAACCTACCTAAATACATACGAAGCAAGTTGAACTTAAATATAAGTCAATGAACTTAAAATATAAGTCAGTACAGGTGACTTTAAATCTTATTAAAATATGTGGAATCTGTTTGGCCCACACAAGGTTATACTTAGGTTTATGTGGCCCTCCTATGTAATAAGGTTGGGCACAGGAAGAGACTTTGGGAGCTCAGTCACTTTAGCTTATCAAGAAGATTAGAAGGTGACTTAATTATGATATATAAATTCCTTCACAGGAGAAAATACTGGCTTACTAAAGGTGATTTTAATCTAGCCCAGAAAATCAAATAGATGATGTGTTGCCTATGAGGAGAACTGCTTAATGGAGACTTGTAAAGTAGCAATATGAAGTTCCAAACACCTTTACCAAGCCAGGTTTGGGGTGTGCCTTGTGAATTACTGCACAACAGAAGAAATCCTGCTTTCCAGTAGGATTGTGAGGGGGATCTCAATGAGGGAGATGCTTACAGAGATTCTCCTCTCTTAAGTCACAGGAGGAAATGTTCTGGCACATGGGTGATCAAACATAACTATTTTGCTGCCCCAAAAAAGTAAGTGTGCATTAAACGGTACAGTCAAATTCCTATTTTAGAATCACATTCACATAAAGTCTCCTCATAAAGAAAAGGAGTACTTGTGGCACCTTAGAGACTAACCAATTTATTTGAGCATGAGCTTTCGTGAGCTACAGCTCAAAGCTCATGCTCAAATAAATTGGTTAGTCTCTAAGGTGCCACAAGTACTCCTTTTCTTTTTGCGAATACAGACTAACACGGCTGTTCCTCTGAAACCTGTCATAAAGTCTCCTGTTACAAATAAGGTCTTGGTCTATTACAAGTCCATTTAAAAAATCTAGTTTAATTTTCATTATTCATTTAACTCTTTGCATTTCTCTCAGGTTAGGTAATGAAAATGGATCAAGGATTTGCTTTAATTTTACATTGAAATATAACAATATAAGCCAATCAAAAAGAGTCGTTATTTGCTTGTAACAAAGACTGCTGTTCAAAGGATGGCCATGATATAACATGAATTTATTTAGCTTAACAAAGAAAAGATTTAAGGGTGACTTAATTACAGTCTGTAAGTACCTACAGGGGGAACAAATATTTAATAATGGGCTTTTCAGTCTAGCAGTGAAAAGTATAATGCTAGAAATTGAGGCAACACAAATTCAGACTGGAAATAAGGCGTAAAAATTTAATTAACCATTGGAACAATTAACCCAGGTCATGGTGGATTCTCCCTCACTGACCATTTTTAAATCAAAGATTAGATGTTGTCTCTCAAAGCTATGCTCTCGGAATTATTTTGGGGAAGTTCTGTGGCCTGTTATACAGGAGGTCAGACTAGATGATCACAGTGGTCCCTTCTGTCCTTGAATATTTCATAGATTCATATATTTTTAAAGCAGTTCTATGCAAAATTTGTGTTTTTTCTTTTCAGCTTTAATAAAATATATACGACCGGTATTTGTGTCTCGGTCAGACCAGGATTCTCGCAGAAAAACTGTTGAAGAGATAAAGAGACGTGCTCAATCTGATGGCAAATGGCCACAGGTATGGTATAACCTCTTTTATGTGATATTTGACATTTGTTGGTTTTGAGAAACAAATTTTAGTCTTTTTTTTTCTCCATAGAGGACACGCTAGACCAGTGGTTCTTAACCTGGGGTGCACGCACCCCCTGGGGGTGTGAGATACCCTTTCTGGGGATGTGAGGCCAGATTTTTTTTAGAAGGTAAATCTTCGAAAACACAAATTAAGCACAGGCACATAAGTACAACTATTTTGTTTCATCAAACCTATATATTTATTAACATACTTTTTTTTAACAATTACTGAAATATACAAACAAAAATATATCTAGGTTTAAAGAGCTGACCTACTTCAACAATTTTTGATAAGGGGTGTGAGAACATATTTTGATTTTTGATAAGGGGTACGAGAACATATTTTGAGAACCAAAGGGGTGCAGGGTGCAGTAAAGGTTAAGAATCACTGCACTAGACCCAGATGCTTTTTCTCCATGAATGCAAGATTTAAAATGTTACTTGCAGAACATGTTGCTAAACTTAAAAAGGAAGCTTACAAGAAGTGGAAATTTGGACAGATGACTAGGGAATAGTATAAAAATATTGCTAGAGCATGCAGGGGTGTAATCAGGAAGGACAAGGCACTATTGTAGTTGCAGTTAGCTTGGGATGTGAAGGGTAACAAGAAGGGTTTCTATAGGTTTGGTAGCAACAAGAAGAAAGTCAGGGAAATTGTGGGACCGTTACTGAATGGGGGAGGCAACACAGTGACGGCTGATGTGGAAAAAGCTGAAGTACTCAATGCTTTTTTTGCCTCGGTCTTCACAGACAAGGTCAGCTCCCAGACTGCTGCACTGGGCAACACAGTATGGGGAGGAGGTGAGCAACCCTCCATGGTGAAAGAACAGGTTAAGTACCTTTTAGAAAAGCTGGATATGCACAAGTCCATGGGTCCAGATCTAATGTATCCAAGGGTGCTGAGGGAGTTGGCTGATGTGATTGCAGAGCCGTTGGCCATTATCTTTGAAAATTCGTGGCAATCTGGGAAGGTTCCGGACGATTGGGAAAAGACAAATGTAGTGCCCATATTTAAAAAAGGGAAGAAAGAGAACCCGGGGAACTACAACCTCACTTCAGTCCCTGGCAAAATCATGAAGCAGGTCCTCAAGGAATCCATTTTGAATCACTTGGAGGAGAGGAAGGTGATCAGGAACAGTCAACATGGATTCAGCAAGGGCAAGTCATGCCTGATCAACCTGATTGCCTTCTATGATGAGATAACTGGCTCTGTGGATATGGGCAAAGCAGTGGATGTGATATCACGAGGGACGTGATCGTTCCCCTCTATTCGACATTGGTGAGGCCTCATCTGGAGTACTGTGTCCAGTTTTGGGCCCCACACTTCAAGAAGGATGTGGATAAATTGGAGAGAGTCCAGCGAAGGGCAACAAAAATGATTTGGGGTCTGGAACACATGAGTTATGAGGAGAGGCTGAGGGAGCTGGGATTGTTTAGCCTGCAGAAGAGAAGAATGAGGGGGGATTTGATAGCTGCTTTCAACTACCTGAAAGGGGGTTCCAAAGAGGATGGCTCTAGACTGTTCTCAATGGTAGCAGATGACAGAACGAGGAGTAATGGTCTCAAGCTGCAGTGGGGGAGGTTTAGATTGGATATTAGGAAAAACTTTTTCACTAAGAGGGTGGTGAAACACTGGAATGCGTTACCTAGGGAGGTGGTAGAATCTCCTTCCTTAGAGGTTTTTAAGGTCAGGCTTGACAAAGCCCTGGCTGGGATGATTTAACTGGGAATTGGTCCTGCTTCGAGCAGGGGGTTGGACTAGATGACCTTCTGGGGTCCCTTCCAACCCTTATATTCTATGATTCTATGATATATCTTGACTTTAGCAAAGCTTTTGATATTATCTCCCACAGTACTCTTGCCAGCAAGTTAAAAAAATATGGATTGGATGAATGGACTATAAGGTGGATAGAAGGCTGGCTAGATTGTCGTGCTCAACGGGTAGTGATCAATAGCTCGAAGTCTAGCTGGCAGCCGGTATCAAGCGGAATGCCCCAGGGGTTGGTCCTGGGGCCGGTTTTGTTCAACATCTTTATCAGTGATCTGGATGATGGGATTAATTGTGCCCTCAGCAAGTTTGCAGATGATACTAAAATGGAGGGAGAGGTGGATCCCCTGGAGGGTAGGGTTAGGGTACAGAGTGACCTAGACAAATTGGAGGATTGGTCCAAAAGAAATCTGATGAGGTTCAACAAGGACAAGTGCAGAGTCCTGCACTTAGGAAGGAAGAATCCCATGCACTGCTACAGGTTGGGTACCGACTGGCTAAGCATCAGTTCTTCGGAAAAGGACCTGGGGATTACAGTGGATGAGAAGCTGGATATGAGTCAGCAGTGTGCCCTTGTTGCCAAGAAGGCCAATGGCATTTTGGGCTGCATTGGTAGGAGCATTGCCAGCAGATCAAGGGGAGTGATCATTCCCCTCTATTTTGCACTGGTGAGGCCATACCTGGAGTATTTCGTCCAGTTTTGGTCCCCCAACAACAGAAGGGATGTGGACAAATCGGAGAGAGTCCAGTGGAGGGCAATCAAAATGATTAGGGGGCTGGGGCACATGACTTACGAGGAGAAGCTGAGGGAACTGGGGTTTTTAGTTTGCAGAAGAGAAGAGTGAGGGGGGATTTGATAGCAACCTTCAACTACCTGAAGCGGGTGGAGCTAGACTGTTCTCAGTGGTGACAGATGACAGAACAAGAAGCAGTGGTCTCAAGTTGCAGTGAGGGAGGTCTAGGTTGGATATTAGGAAACATTATATCACTAGGAGGGTGGTGAAGCACTGGGAATGGGTTATCTAGGGAGGTGGATGTGGAATCTCCATCCTTAGAGGTTTTTAAGGCCCTGCTTGACAAAGCCGTGGCTGGGATGATTGGTTCTGCTTCTAGCAGTGGATTGGACTGGATGACCTCCTGAGGTCTCTTCCAACCCTAATATTCTATGATCTTTGAGTTATATTGTAACAATTTTTAGTCCTTGGAGAAAATTTCCATTGATACCAAAAATCGTCTGAAGCCTTTAAATTTAATCGGCAGCTGAGGTTCTTGCACTTGAATTTTATAATTGTTATGATATGGTACACTTTTGGGGGGAGGGAGGAAATAGAAAAAGAGGGACTGTTATGACTACTCTATTTCAGCCCGAAACTTTCTAGAAGTATGTGCATTTTTATTTTAAAATTTGAAGCATATTAAAAATTCTCCTGTTTTCTGAAGATGGCCAGTCTCGGGCTTTAGAATTAGCACTAGCTGTGCACCTATGTGATCCCTTTTCTCAGTAAGTGCACATATTAATAAGTCATATTTGATAAGCATATCTGCGAACATAATCTGGCAAACAAGTAGATTTTAAATAGGCATACATTTCTATTAGAGGAGTTCCTGATTTTGTGGGGTCCGTCAGTGAGAGAGGACTTGGCATGTACTCCCTTTCCTATACCATTAGCACCCCCAACAAGGGAGAAGAGGTTGGAGCCTTACAAAGTACCTGTGCATTAAAAAGTGCATTCCAATTGACATAAATAGGGTGGGTGTTGGTGGGTGGTCCTTGCCCTTTCTTTTCCTATCCATTGCCTTCACATTCAGAAAATCTGAACCAGTTTGGTTCAAACTAAAAAAAAACAAAACAAAAACTCCAACTCCAAAACCCTATTTTGGGGGAAACAAAGTACCTGAAAGATGAAAATTTGTGAACTGCTGAAAGACCTATAAAATTAAATATTAAGCAACCCAAATTATAGCTGCTCTTAAGCACACCAGGTATAATCCTGTAGTCAACATGAATAAGAAACAGAATACCTCAACGGCATAAGATAGTCACTCACCTCTATAAGTGTTTTAAGATTGGGACCTTAATACTTGATCCTATGGCCTTTGCTCAGCAACTCAAGTTAAAATAAAATGTAAACCAATCTTTTTTACTTCTGTGATTAAAATATAAATGGTATAGTGTAAGCAGTGTTTCCCAATCTCTTCGATGCCAAGCTCTTATTCAGGAAAATGAAACTAATTGCACCCTGTGCAACCTCATTGTGTGGTGCTTATAACATTTATAGTTTAACGTACATCTTTTCCATGCCCTGTTGGCAAGTCTTTTGCGTCCCCTTCCCTTCTTCCTCCCTGCCCCGTGACATTACAATCCAGACTGAGTAGCTGTGTCACCCTTGCCCTCTAACCTGGGGTGCCCTTTAAACTGCTTTGCTGCTGTAGCCTCCAGTCAGGACTGCTCGCAAACAGCCTCCAACATGTAAGTCACTCCCAACATGTAAGCTGTGTTTGTGTGTGTGCTGCAGCCAGCCCAGCCCCACCTTGGTTATGTTGCAGGGTGACCCCAATGCATCCCCTGTCCTAGATTTTCTCCCCCAAAATATATGTCCTGTACCACCCAGTTCTTTCCTGGACAATACAAACTTTAACATAAAGTCCCACATTTTATTAATAGAATTGGTATGCACACATCTTGTTACCCCAGATGGAATTTCACAGACACTTCGGTGTAAATACACTAGATTAGATAAAACAAGTTTAACTAAAAAGAGATTTTGGGAGTACAAGTGATGAGGCATTAAAGTCAGAAATGGTTACAAGAAAAGTAAAGATAAAACTTAACTAGTGCCTTATTTAACAAACTACACTAAGCAAAGTTTATTTCACCACATACTCTCAGCAGTCTCACTGACCAAGCTTCTTAGGTCAGTGTTACCAGATTTGTCCATTACCTTGGGGTACGCTCATTTCTTAGGGTTACTCTTCTGGGGGTGGGAGAAGAGGTTCTGTAATTCTGTCAATGTACTGCTTGTGTCACGTGTTTTCATATGGAGCTCTACTTCTCCCTTCTGCAAGTTCCCTCCTAAAGGAGCTGTCCTGCAGGATCTAGGTTCCTCCCGCCCAGGAATCACAGACACACACACACACACCATGTCTGTTAGCATGTGTGTGTGGTCCTCTGAGCGGACCGGGTCAGTCAGCACTCCCAAGCTTTCACCTTATATGCCCTTGGACTCAGAAGGCTGGGTCGAACAGCACTTCCAAGCTGCCACCCTCATATGCCACGGCCACCACACCAGAATAGAATATGCCTGAGCAGACTGGGTTGAGCAGCACTTTCAGGCTGCCACCCTTATCTGCCCCTGGACTCAGCAGGCTGGGTCGAGCAGCACGTTTAAGATGCCACCCTCCTATGCCACAGGTTCAGTACGTTCCTGTCCCCACTTTCACGTTACAGCTGTTCTGGTAGTAACCCACTTGATGAGCAAACCCCACAGGATTTTTGGGCACTACACGGATCTTTAGCTTAGGTAAGACGTTGCTGTAGAGCAAATGGGGAAGCCAAAAACACAAGGGAGGGAGGGAGGGAAGCAATCAGCTTAACCATAAAAGTTATTTATTGCCTGGTAATAACCATACAAGGAGTGCCAAGCAAACAAAACAGTTACAATATTAAATCTAGCTTAAATTTGATTACAAAATTCAGGTTTAGAAAACGATACCTGATCACCCTAGTCAGGGTTAGAAAGCTATACCTAGAGTAGGAAAAAAAACAAAAACAGAGAGAGAGAGAAGGAGGGAGAGTTGGGGTCTCACCACTCCGTGAAGCTTGAACTGGTCGGGGTTCCCAGGTGGTGGTGGTAGCTGAGGGTCTGGAGTGCTGGAGATAGGCAGAGCCCCCACACGATCATTCAGGAGAAGATACAGTCCCAATGGAACTGATTCAGATTTTGGATCCAGGCATCAGAACCCTTACTTGAGCGTGAGTAGTGATTTTTGTAGGGAAACAACAGTGGTTCAAGGGAGAACACTAGATTTGTTTATGGGTAAACTGATGGTTCAGAGGAGTATACCAAAGTCATTTTGTTCAGGCTAGACAATAGGAACTGATCATTCCTGGCTATGGGCAGTGTTCCTTCGAGGGAGTTCACAATACAATTAGGCAGCTTCAGTATTTTGGATACAAATAAAGGATTTATTACTAGATTTGGTGTGATAACTACTGAGCTGGGTGTGTGCAGGCGTGTGTTCATTAACATCTGGAGCAAAGATCCTCCATCATGCAGTGCTTCCCTGCTTTTCTGGTCCCAGAGTTCAGTGCGGTTCTTGCCTTGGAACCTCTGTTCTCCATTCTGTATGCTAATGGAGATGCCTCCCTGTCCCATCTTCGATGCAAATAAGGCTAGGAGAGTTGCCTTAATCCTGTCACCCTTGTCCGGAGGGGTTTAGGTGTGTCTCCCACTCTTTATAAGTCTTTCTTCTGGTCAGTTTTGGCTCAAGCAGAGGCTGGGGTGGGGCGTCCTTCGTGAGTCCGACAGGCTGAATACTGCGCCCTGGTACCCCAAGAACACGTCGCTGACAGGTAACATCAGGACCCCTTCTCCAGTTCAGTAGCTGCTTCCTTTGTTCCTTTTGGTGTAGTGAATCGATGGACAGATTCTTACATGCTCTGAATACTGAAGTAGTTATCAGTGTTGACATTTAAAGTATTGTTGCAAAGTTAGCACCTGTGGAAATGAATGTAACAGTTACATCTGAGAACCATTGGTTGTGCTATGCTCTCTTCAAACTCAAGCAGGCCTCTCTCCATCAGTTACACCTGGTTAGTGTGTTTTTTAAAATGAAACTGAGAATCTGGAAAATAGTTTGGTGGTCTGTTCCCCCTGTTCTCCCACCAACTAGTCCTTCATGCTGCCCTGTGCCGTGGAAAACAGTGGTTTAAAGAATAAATAAAATATCCTGTTCCACAGTTTGTGCCAGATTCTATGCATCTGAAAGTCTTCGTGACTTCAAAAGACCATGCTATCATTTAAACATTTTCTTTAATTTGCTTGCTTTTTCTTAAATTACTATAATTCAAATGTGAGGAGTTTTAATATTGGTTTTGAAAAGATGTAAATACAACAAATATTCTGTAACAGTAAATTTTGTTTTTGCTTCAAGATAATGATATTCCCAGAAGGAACTTGCACAAACCGATCTTGTCTAATTACCTTCAAGCCTGGTAGGTATGAAGCATATCTTTCTTTATAGAATGTTCTCATATTGCAGGATTTTTAAAATATATTGGTTGCCATTGTAAACGGTTTGCTGTTATAGAATTTGAATAAAAAAACTGGTAATGAGGTGTGGTTGAAGTGGAAGTTTTTGATCCTATAGATGGACTCTAGTTTTATCGTTACACAAAACGTACATCTAATTAAATTACCATTTTTGACTGTTTTCTGGAATGTGTATAAGAATCTGAAAGACAAGTGTTTCTCCGACTGAATTTTTGCATTCCCTATGATGGTGAAGTGGTCTTAGCACCCCTCTGAAACATAGTCTAAGGGTTCAATGCACATCTGTAACTATTTGAGGCTACTACAATACTTGCTTCTGGGCAGTCTGTAGTTGACTCTCCTCTTCCCATTGGATGCCACACTTGTTCTTCTTGGCGATGCCCTCTAGCCAGGCCTATGCTAAGACTTTTGGCAGTATAGTAATGTCAGTTAAGGGGACTCCCCCCTACCCCTTACCCTTTAGCCCTGGTCAACATTTCTGTACTCCCAAAAGCCCTACTGTAAACACAGTTATAGTAGTACAAAAGTGCTTTTGCTGGTATAGCTTATTTGGCATAGTTTGTCAACTCAGTATAAGCTATACCAGCAAAAGCACTTCTATACTAATATAAATGTGAGTATATTAGGAGGTGTTGCTGGCTCTCCTGCTCCCCATTGCACTCTAGACCACCCAGAAACCTGCTACCAGATCCCTTTACTGCCTCAAGTTCCTATTGTACCCACACTTCCAGTTTCCCGCTGATCCAGCCCATTCTGCTCTCCACCCCCACTGCAAATGTACTCAACCTCCCTATTTCCCCTGGCCCTAGCTGTCTTAGTCTCCACTCCTTTCACCCACTTCCTCTGAAATCTTATTGCCTCTGACTTTTCCACTTGTTTCTTGGTGCCATAAGTCCTTTCCAAAGTTATTGCTTTGCAGAATACATTTCCCCATTCTGTATGGCCTACATTCTTTGTTCCTAGCTGGGTGACCTTCCAGATGCATTTTAATACAGGCAAATGGTTCATATGAGCTGTTCTTGCCAGGCACTCCAGATTACTCTGTGTAAGTGGTAAATGACAACAGATCACCTGACAGATCTTTATCTGCAAACTTTACTGGTAGAGATTGTATATGTTCTTCCTGATCACTGGTAGACATTAAATACCACTGAGACAAGAACAGATTGTACTTGACTCCCCTCAAAGCACCTTAAGTTGGTGGTGGTAGATCCACATTAACAATTACATTTTGTACAATAGTTTCTAATATTTTGTTATTTATTATAGAGTGCTATTTTTCATCAGAATGTATTGTAGTACAAAGTCAAATGCCCTACAGAAGTTTATGTCCACATAGTTACCTTTATCAACAAAATTGGTAAATTCATAAAAATATATCAAATTTGTTTGCGAGACTTTTTTACGAGATCAGATCTTTATCAAATTCACATCTGACAATAACTGTTAAAAGGCAGAAACAACAAATATATATAAAAAATCAACAATCCTGACCATGAGTCAAATTAAGGCTGTAATAAAATGTGTGTCTTCATAATTGATTATGTTTTATGTAGGTTTTGGTGGATTTTGAATGTCTATATTTCCATTCTTGTAAATGCTTGTTTCTTCTAAATAAGATAGGTATATACACTGTCAATTACCAACACTGTCTTTTTTTTAAATGACTTTTTCTGTGGAATATTGGTATATATTTTGCTACTTCCAGATCTTGTATTCTTTCCACTAACATGTTATGAATTTGTGCTACTATATACACCAGACTAACCATGTAACCAATAGTCACATAATCTTTTTTGATAATGAGTAATTTATTTGACAATAAGAAAATATGCCAAAGAGTAATGATGTGTAATGTGTGCTTTCTAGGAGCATTTATTCCTGGAGTTCCTGTCCAGCCAGTAGTTTTACGTTATCCGAACAAATTGGTAAGTTCAGCTTGCTCTGCAGATTAATGGTTACTTTTTGTTAGTTTTTTGGACCTAACATTGCCAGCCCCACTAGTTGGAACTAGGAACAATTAGAAAAGAGAAACTGTCCACAGATTGTACGAGGGAATGTACAGACCATTGGACACTTGGGCAATGAATGTATGGATGAGTAAAGCAAAATGGCCAAGAAAAAGTGTTTAGTCCACCGGGTCATTTTCAGTTCATTTATTATGCTTTTCTGGGATGATGGGTAAACATCCTGCCCATAAAAAGACAAAAAGGAAGGGACTGTAGGCCTTGCAGGAGCCCTAGGCATAACTAGCTGTGTGAACCAAAGATTGTGAAGCAGAGTAGGACTGGCCTTAGCAGAATAGTAACTCACTTGGTGTCTGCTAACCAAGTAAGCACGTTCCTGACTGGAGAGGATGGTACTAAAAGACACAGATCTCTCAAGTAACTATTTAAAAGCATTCATAAGAGATGATACAAGAATGCACTGACCCCTTGTAAAGATAAGGAGGGGATGACAGGATATGGATAGGGATCTTTTGTTCGAGCTCAGGTGTATGAGGATTAGGGTGGTAACTAACACCGACTGGAGTATAGTAGCTAACTTGTTTGTATCAATGTATAAAAGGAGAAATGATACGAGGGGAATCTTTGTGCTAGTCTAGGAGACAGGATCCTGGTATTCTGATTGAACTGGTATCATTGTTGCAGGCATACATGTGTTAGTGTACCTGTAGCTCCTATGAGGCACTTGTACTGTGCTTTGTCAACAATAAACCTGGCTGAGCGCCTTTGCCACTGAACCGAACCTTGTGGTCTTTCTTTATGAAGAATGTCAAGGGTTGTTCAATCAGCAAGCTGCACTCTCTGGTAGTGCAGCTAACACTGCAGCTCCAAGGACAACAGCACTAGTAACATTAATAACTTAGCAGCCTTAACAACACTCCACAACACTAATTCCACCTGATTTTCACATGTATTCCTTTCATGCTCCTTCATATTCTGCTGCATGATAATTTCCTTTTGTTTCCCTCATCTTTACTTAAAGCCACGACAACAGTTTTGCTTATTCCATTGCTTTGCAGATTTCCATGGCTTGTTCTCCAGTCAACTAACAATTTCTGCATAAATATGTGCTTTCTCATCTCTGTAGCCTACCACCAGCCTGTCTCCTACCAGGAAATCCTCAAAGGGGCCTTAAAATTGCAAGACTGGCTCTTGAGCATTGAGCTTGACACATTCTTCAATACAGTAACTCCCCACTTAACGTCCTCTCGCTTAATGTTGTTTCGATCTTACGTCCCTGCTCAATTACAGAACATTAAATTAATTTAAAGTTGTGCAATGCTTCGCTATAACGTCGTTTGGCTGCCTGCTTTGTCCACAGCTGGCAGCCCCGCATCAGCTCCCCTACGCCCCCCCACCCCACACAGCGCCTCCTGCCCGCCAGCAGACTCCGCGGATCAGCGCCTCCCCCCTCCTCCTACCGCCTCCTGCCTGCGGAAATCAGCTGGCTTGCAGTGTTCAGGAGGGAGGAGGAAGGAGTGAGGACTCGGAACACAGGCTCCCCCTCCCTCCCCTGCCTCTTTAATGCCGCAAATCAGCTGATTGCTGCGGGCAGGAGTCAGGGGAGGGAGGGGCGAGGCTGCACACCAAGTCCTCGCTCCTCCCCCCCTCCCTCCTGCCCCCTGAACGCCACAAGCCAGCTGATTGCCGTGGGCAGGAGCGAGGACATGGCGTGCCTCTCCCCTGCCTCTTGCCCGCGGCAATCACCTGGCTTGCAGCACTGAGGAGGGAGGGAGGGGGAGCCTGCGCACCATGTCCATGCTCTTCCCACTCCCTCCTGCCTCCTGAACACCGCAAGCCAGCTGATTGCCGGAGGCAGGGGAAGGAGGGGGGAGGAGCAAGGACACAGCGTGCGGAGTAAAGGGGGAGGAGGGGGGGAAGAAGAGGCGGGTTAAGGGTGGGGAAGGGGTGGAGTGGGCGGGATGAGGGTGAGCCCCCTGCCCCAGTGCTTGCAGAGTAGGGGAAGCTGCTGCTGCTGTGCAACATGCTTCTCCTAGCTTACAGCACCTTCAGCCTCTTTGCCTGTCTCATTGTCTCCAGTGCCAGTGGGCTGTGCCTGTGTGGGGTAAGGCCGGGGCACCTCCCAACAATAGTACTGTACTGTATGGCAAAAAAAAATGTCCCTGGAACCTAACCCCCCCCCAACGCATTTATATTCATTCTTATGGGCAAATTGGATTTGCTTAACATCGTTTCACTTAAAGTCGCATTTTTCAGGAACATAACTACAATGTTAAGTGAGGAGTTACTGTACTTTCTTGTTTCTTTTGCACTCTTGTGTGGAAGAGGAATCTTTCTAGATACACAAGCTTCAACCTGTGCTATGACCCTATCATAATTAGTGCTGTCCATGAGTGAGAGCTGGAAGCTATTATAAATACATATTTAGAGCATCTATACCAGCCAGATAACATCACTTTTCTGGCACTACTCGTTGTCTGTGTTTACATAACAGGGTAGTGAGAGCCTATTATAAGCTTCAGCCAGTCTGTCTCATGCAGCGCGGAACCCCACCTTCCAAAATAGAGACTGATCATTGGTCTTTGCAGCCACTGCCCATATCCTTACTCAGTAATGGTAGCCAATCCACAGGTGCAGCGGAACGCCTACATAAGTTACAACTGTTTGAGGTGACTTTTGGGTTGAGAGTTTTTTGCCCAGGAATGTTAACAGATGCAACAAACTGCTAGAATTTCCCAGGTCAGAGAGGTCATATCAGCTGCTTAAAGTGGTGGCTAGAATACTGAGTTGAATCCATTACATAATGATATCACTGCCCAGAAAAGAGAGACCATGAAATTACCCACTTTTGAGAACTGATTGTTTTATTTGCTAGTCAAATAGTGGCAATCTAGGCAGGAGGCTTAATTTCTCTGGTATCTACAGGACTGTGGTTGCTGTTGTAGGCCATAGGTGTACTCTCTGATTTGAAAGATTCAGGCAAACACTCAGAAGCTTGAGGGAGGGTGCCTGAAAAGGAAGGACTCCTACAAAAGAAACCCACACTTAATAGGTCTGCACTCCCAAGGTACTTTAGCCGCACCAGGATCACCAGTAGCAACCCTTCTAACAATGGAAGATTACAATTGGTTGTTGGAAGTTGCCACATCACCCTAGAAGTAGGGTGAGTCTTAAGTCACATTCCAGCATTGGCTGTGGTGGAAAGTGCCCCTTTTTCTTTGAATATAACATATTTTTGTTTTTATCGAGATCAGAAACAATTTAAACTCAGGATTTAACTTCAGCCATTATAGTCAATTCACTATTTCTTTTTCTTGGCTCCTGACCTTTCAGATTCATTTAAGTATATTTAAACTTTGATTTTTGTGTTTTTGTACCTGCTACTTTCTTTTATTCTGTTTCTGTTTTAAGCAGTGATGAAGGTATTAAAGCAAGATTTTGACATTATCCATAACTTTCAAGATCCTGGGACTCTTAATCTTATTGATTCTAAATTGAGTTTGGGTACCTAGCATCAAATTTAGAAACACACAGTTAAGAGGGAGTAGTGCTTAAACTACTATCTATCTGATATTTCCTTTTTGAAAACTAAACTCCTTATCTTTCTTCCAAAACCTTTTTACTCCTCCATTTTCCGTTGGTATCTTATACCCATCTACCTAGTTGCTCAAGCCAGTAATCTGAAAGTCATTGTAAACTCCTCCCCCTCTCTTACACCGCAAAATTCAGGTCTTTGCCAAATCTTGCATTTTCTTCCTCCAGCATTTCTAAGCTTCTCACCTCTTCCCCCTCTTTCCCCCCCACACACAATTAAAACTCATTTTTTATAGGCCCTCAATCTTCCCTTTTGGCTGCTGTCCCCTTCTCCTTTCTTGCCTCCTTGACACCAATGTTGTTACCCTCTTCCAATTCCTGTCCATTCAGAACATGGGCACTAAGAAAACCTTCCTCACTTGATCTAAATATTGCATCTCCCCATTATTCGTTTCTTCACTGGATCAAGTTTGTTTCTTGATCTCCTCTTCTAGGCCCTGCATAACTATCCCTTCCTACTTTCTACCCCATCTCTTATGTTATGTTTCACTCCTTTTACTCCAGCCTTGATGCTGAGCTTGTCCACTTCTTCCACAATAATTTCTGTGCTTTTTTCCAGGCTTCCACTTTTCTGAACTAGTCCACAAAGGCAGTACCCTCTCCTGTGTCAAATACCTCTTAAAGTCCCACTTCTACTATAATGCCAACAAAAAGGTAGCCAGCTCATATTGGCAAGGTAGAGGTGCAATTGAGAATAGCTTTATTTCTGTGTGCCTTTACTGGCAATTCTCTTGTCACACAGTCAGCGCAGACCTCCAACAAGATTAAGCTAATTAAGGAAGAATTTACAAGGCGGAGTCCATAGAGTAATTGTAATGTTTTCAGAGTAACAGCCGTGTTAGTCTGTATTCTCAAAAAGAAAAGGAGTACTTGTGGCACCTTAGAGACTAACCAATTTATTTGAGCATGAGCTATTACCAGCAGGAGAGTGAGTTTGTGTGTGTATGGGGGTGGGGGGGGGGTGAGAAAACCTGGATTTGTGCTGGAAATGGCCCACCTTGATTATCATGCACATTGTAGGGAGAGTGGTCACTTTGGATAAGCTATTACCAGCAGGAGAGTGAGTTTGTGTGTGTGGTTTTTGGAGGGGGGTGAGGGAGTGAGAGAACCTGGATTTGTGCAGGAAATGGCCCACCTTGATTGTCATACACATTGTGAAGAGAGTGGTCACTTTGGATGGGCTATTACCAGCAGGAGAGTGAGTTTGTGTGTGTGTGTGGGGGGGGGCGGAGGGTGAGAAAACCTGGATTTGTGCTGGAAATGGCCCAACTTGATGATCACTTTAGATAAGCTATTACCAGCAGGACAATGGGGTGGGAGGAGGTATTGTTTCATGGTCTCTGTGTGTATATAATGTCTTCTGCAGTTTCCATGGTATGCATCCGATGAAGTGAGCTATAGCTCATGAAAGCTCATGCTCAAATAAATTGGTTAGTCTCTAAGGTGCCACAAGTACTCCTTTTCTTTTTGTAATGTTTTCGGGTTTTTTTTGTGTACTGCATCTTCAGTTTTCTATGGCTGTCTTTCTTCAGAGAAAAAGAAATATTTTATGTTCAGGCCAATACAGAGAGTCAGAGGGAGAGCCAATGTAATCTCTCGAGACAGTACTTCTGTTCCTTTACTGTTTTGTTCTCTTAAGCAAAAGTTAAGGACGCTGCCCAAGTGTTTGCTTTTTGTATGTGAAAAATCTGTTAATCAGGGAAACGAATCTGCACTGTATTTATTTCTAAATATATTTTTCAGTGTTTTGTCTTTCGAGGGATTTCTGGGTCTGTAGGTGGGCTATAAATTGGATTATTTTGTGTGTAAAAGCTGGGCTTAACCAATATTTGTTTTGTAGCTTTTCAAAGGCAGATTGAAGTTCCTGTCTTAGTAGACTTACTTTAATATAAGATAGATTTTTAAAATAGTGGATTGTGGTTTCCATGAAAATTTAAAGCATGTGCCATGCATTGTTCTGTGAAAGAGTAATTGAATTTGCAATGTGTCTTTTTTTGTTTGTAGGATACTATCACATGGACATGGCAAGGTCCAGGAGCGTAAGTCAATCCTATTTTATTCCTTTGTGCCGCAATTGCTTTCCTGAATTAGTTTGGTATTGTTATATGAAATGGTACAAGTGTGCTTTCAAATATTTTAGCTCTATTCTCACCCAGAAGAAGTCTGGAGATAGAGGGTTTTGTATAAGAAATTAATGACAGATTTTGAATCTTGTAGACCAAGAGGAAAAGTGAATTCTATGGAAAATGCCCTGCCATCAGCCTCCTCCTATATCTGAGCTATTAGCTGAGTGCCTTAATTGATCTTACCTGCTGTAATATAGCATCAAGATAAGAGTTGGTTTTTCAGGCAGCCAGAACTCTAATCATTTAAAGCTTTGTAGGTTTAAACCAGCACCTCAAATTGAATCAGAAACCAGTATGGGCTAAGGTGTAAGATGTTTTCTGGGAAAATACCTCTGAGTGGGCTGCCACACTCAGAACTTGTGAAAGTTTCTTCCAGACAGCTCTTTTCAATCAACATGGTACTTGACAAATGTCAAGCAAAGAAGACTCTACATTTGTCTGTCCCCCACCAGAAAAGGGTCTGTTCCATAAAGGCAAACAATCCATTCTGAATCCAGGCGGTCTGTGACTCCTGACAGTACAAAACATATAAAACTTTGCTACTGATTGGAGGTAACTCAGATTCACCAGGCTGTTCCTCATCTGCTTCAGTTCCTTGGTGAATCAGTGCCTTAGGGACTTCTGTAGCTGTAGTGGAAGACAAAATATTTTAGAACCCTACTCTCCAGGCAGCCAAATAATGGTTTAGTAGTTTCTCTGTGCCGTCTGAAACTGAACTGGTTCTGTTATGTTCCAAGGCTAGACTAATAAAACATCTTCTGCTTTTACACCCAACTTCAAAATAAAGGTGGGTAATAGTTTGTTGCACAAGTCAAAACAAAAAGTCTCAGCAACTTCTGACTTCTTTATTTAAACGACATAGGTGTTCATCATGACACTTTTTAAAGCAAATTTAGTACTTTGTTAAAAGTATATAAATGTGGACTTGTTACATAATGAATGTCACTTTTTCTACAGCTTCAGATTTCCCACTTTATTGCCTTGCTTTTAATATGCAACTTTGGAATAAACATTCTTAGACAGATGGTCACAGAAAGCAGTAAAAACACGTAAAGGTGCAATCCAAAAGTAGTTTTATTTTCTAAAGATGCATCTTACCTGAAAAACATAACGTTAGGTGAAGAGTTCAGCATGCTGTGTATTGCTTATTTGCTACATTCAAAACTTGTCTTTTTTTATTTTTTAAGGCTGGAAATTCTGTGGCTTACCTTGTGTCAGTTTCACAATTTTGTGGAAATTGAGGTTAGTATAAAAGCAGTACTGCTTTCTATTTTAGGCAATACCAAACTTCATTTCTTGTAGACTGTGTAAACATGATAAACTATTATTTCTGCAGCAAAACAGTGTAATTAAAATGTATAATCAGACTTAAAATGTTAACACTGCATTGCACGCAGACTGAATATAACTCACATTTTGCATAAATAGCTCTGTTGAAAGCTTGACTCACCAAGTTTCAGCAGAACTAGCCTTCCTCTGCACTTGCAAGATTAACCTCTTAATCACCATGTAGTTCTGTCTGCTAAGGGACGGTTATGCATAAAAATGCTTTTGAAGGGCTTGTTAACATACTGGTAAGTATTTATACCTTATTTTAGGTGTTAGTATTGATGTGCAACTAAGGATTTTCTTCCGGAATAAAAGTAACTGCATACAATTTCTTCTCATCCAAACAAACTCTTACTTCATGCCACAAATATTAAAGTTGCACAGTTAAGCACACAAGAGTCAAGAAATGAAAAAGTTAAGGTTTCCTGTACAACCTTAACTTTGTTCCCTTGTTTATTTTTACTACAATAGTCTTCTTTTACATGATCACATACTATTTTTCTCAAAAGATATAGTTAATATACATTTTTCTATAGCATTGCTTATGTATTTTATAGCACTTTGTACTGTATTTCATTCTTGAATGCTTATACTATTTTGATTGTTATAATTGTCCAGGGTATCTTTGATTGTTTTATTTTAATGTTTTCTTCTCTCAGGTACATATTTTAATAACTTACCAGCTGTTTCTCTCAGAATAACACAACCTTGCTTAGGTGCAGTAGATTCCTAGATTAAGGCCAGAAGGCACCATTGTGATCATCTAATCTAATAATTTAGCAGAGGAGATAAGGCAGTTAGTTTGCAGTTAACACTTACTATTGCTCTGTTACACAGTGTACCACTGGTTAAGTATAAGTTACTTTTAAAAACAATATATGGCATAAATAGGGTAGTACACAGTAAAGTTGCTAAACAAATTTGTCTCAGGTCATAGAAACACTTGTACAATATCTTATTGGAGTATTTGCATGCAGTTAACTTTTGTGTTTCCTGATTTTTTTTCAGTGCTTAACCATGTGTTCTTTAATGTTCTTAGCATAATTAAATTAATTTCCCAGACTTTTTATGAAAAAGTAAAAAGTAGTTCCCTTCCAGGGCTTCAGAATTCTGTTGGTTTACAAAAATTGGCAAATAAATCTGAAACTATTTAACTAGAAAGCACTGAATCTTTGTCCTATGCCATTCTTGTGCACCTCATAGAAAGGTGAGCTTAAAAGTTATGTGGCAGGGGATGACATTTTATTCTTTAAGGCACATTAGAGTGGAGCTCCCTCCTGTACACCTCCATAATCTGCATAGGAACACTAACTCAGTTACTTTAACTTTACAACATCTACAGGCTATAAAGGGCCTGGTTCTGTTACCCTTTGTCATTCTTGGATAGTATCTTATGTTGCCCTTAGTCCAAATTTATGTTTGTGGTAAATTGAATGGAAAATCAATATTACTGTTTACACAGTAAATTGTTTCTCGGAGAAATTAAAGCCAGCGGAATCAGACTCTTGGTGTGCAGGAACCTTCTTTCAAGCCCTGCTCACTTTATTATCTTGAACTTTATATGTTACATAAGGTGACCCAGGGATAACGACTTTTAAGTCAGTGGAATTCATTTAGATATATACAATTGTAATTGAGAAAAATATGCCTTTATGGGGTTCTGTACAGAGAGAAGGTCACAGTCCCTGTCCCAAAGAAGGATTAATCATTTTATATTGGTGCACTTAACTTTGTGAACAGATTGAGAAGTTTTCCAGATTTCAAAATGGAATAATAATATTTAATCAGCTAGTGTTAAAAAGAAAGAAATAAAAAGAAAAGCTGAGACCTGAACAACCATCTCTTTGACAACTGGGTATTTGAAATAAAATGAAAAAAAATTCTGCTACTAATTGAGATAAAGTAACTTTTATAAAAAATATATTTCACAAGTAGACTGTGTTAAAGGGTTTTTTAGTAAAATCTGTATTTTTTGTACATTTTGAACAAGTTTAAATAGAATCCATTCCAAATACATTTTAAAGTTCTCTACAGACATTATGCACTGGGTATCTATTCAAGGATGTTGGGCTTCCAGTGTAAGACAGCAAAGAACTCTTAGCTGTCAAAGGTATCTTGGTTCTCTAAATCAGTGTTTCTCAACCTTTTTGATACTAGGGACTGGCTTGCTGCCTTCCTAAATGGTGTCATGGAGATCTCAGGAACCCTCACCGGTCCATGAACCCATTGTTGGGAAACAATGCTCTAAATTACTGGTAGCTCAGACACATTTTAACTTGCCCCTGGAATATCCAGTGTTGCTCCAGTTTCCTCTTTGGCTGGCTAAGATTGCCAGCTTCCATTTGATACCTATCCAGGAAGTAGAAATGACTTGATAGGCTTCGAAAACAAATTATTGTCCCCTTGAACTCGATATTAAATGGGGTTTAAGACAGCATAATCTGTTCAAACTACTCTACTCTCCCAGTGTATTCAACAGTTTAAAAAATGGAGTGGATTTTCAAGAGGTTAGCTTTGGTTTAACTCTCCTCCCATTGAAATTAATCTGAGTTTTACCATGGACTTTAATAGAAGCAGAGGTAGGCCATTCTGAGTACATTTTAAAATGCATGGGATTTTGCCTCAAGCCCATGGGAGAGTTTGGTGCTTCAGATAGCTTTGGCTAGATGATAAATTGGCCAAACTTATTAAAGTAACTCCTTACTTAACATGGTCCCGGTTAACGTTGTTTCACTGTTACGTTGCTGATCTATTAGAGAACATGCTTGTTTAAAGTTGCACAATTCTCCCTTATAACGTTGTTTGGCAGCCGCCTGCTTTGTCCACTGCTTGCAGGAGGAGCAGCCCGTTGAAGCCAGCTGGTGAGGGCTTGGAACCAGGGTGGACCGGCAGTCCCCCTATCAGCTTCCCTAAGTTTCCCAACAGGCTATTAATTGCCGGGCAGTTCAAGTGTCCCTCCCCCCACTACCATGTGCTGCTCCTGCCCTCTGCCTTGGAGCCGCTTCTGGGAGCCTCCTGCTTGCTGTGCAGACAGTGTGGGGGAAGAGGGGTGCTGATGTCAGGTCCCCTTCCCCCCGCTCCTGTACCCCATCTCCGACAGAGCTCAGAATGGAGGGAACTTGCTGGCAGCAGCTGCTGTCTCAACTTGCTGATCTACTTAAAAAGGCAGTGTACTAAGAGTGGGGTCAGCATACTTAAAGGGGCAATGTGCGTCTCTCTCACATGCATGCACGCACACACACATACATGGTGTGTGTCTGTCTCTCACACATGCGCCCCCTGGCACTTTGGAAAGTGGAGGGAGTTGTGCACTCCATTGGGATAGTGTGGGTTCATCATCACATTCAGCCACTGCCATGCATTTATAGTGTCTCCACCCTCAATTTGTGCTGCCTTGTAGAGTGTGAGGCTACATTAACAACGTGTTAACCCTTGAGGGCTCAACCAAGTGCTAGTTCATCATTTAGCAGCAAGGCATTCCCTGGGAAATATCCCACCCTCTGACTCTACCACCTCAACCAAGTCTGGCAAAAAAAATTTCCCTGAAATTTCCCTAACCCCTCCATCTACATTAATTCTTATGGGGAAATTGGATTCACTTAACATCGTTTCACTTAAAGTAGCATTTTTCAAGAACATAACTACAACGTTAAGTGAGGAGTTACTGTACATAGCACCCACAAACTCTAATATTGGTTACTGAGACACTCATAGTGAAAGGTCTTGCTCATAAAGAGTCACGGTACTCTGTTGCAGACTACCAGACCTATTTAACTAAATAATTTAGTCATGTGGAATGTCTTCAGCAAAAATTTAGTGTTCAAAAAAGTTGCTTTAGCAAGTATAAGCTGGGCCTGGCCTGGCCCAAGATGTTGGATGGCCTTTGATGCAGGCAATACAATGGTGAAAGCTGTGATGCCCATAGATACTCATGTCTATTCACTTCAGTTTTTAGGAGATCCATATGCTTTTATGCAGCATTTTCCCTTGGCCTCCATATCTGATGCCTAGTTTGGGCAAACTATCTTGCAGCCTTTTTTATATCTTTTAGAGGAAGTAAAGATGTTGTAATTCTTGTTAGCTAAAGATACTAGGCCAGATTCTTACAGCTAAACCACACAGAACACATGCCGGGGGGGATGGTAGTGCAAAGGATGTGTTCAGTTAATTTTTGTGTGTTCTGAACAACTTGCAATGTATTTGAGCGCTCTTGGGCTACTTTCACCATGCTGAGCTGCAATGGCCATGTGGGGAAGAAAACAGTGGAGGACTGAGGTAGCAGTCTGACTACTCTCTTCCCTTGCTACACTGGCAGAAGGGATAAGGGGGTTGTAGATTAAAAACTCCTAGATCATCTCTGGGCTATCAAAGGATCATCCTCATATTGGCCTGTTTATTCATATTGTGATTGTCTGGTCTGCCATTTTCTATAACTCAGGCCATAGGACTTGGTTGTATTAATTTCTGCTTCAAGTCCAATAGCTGTAGTATAACTACAGTATATCTTTTGCAAAACCATCTAATCTTCATTTTAAAATTGCCAGCAGTGGAGACCTGGAGCTTACAAAGCTGTTCCACTGATTAATTGCCTTCCCTGTTAAAAAAAACCAAACAGACAAACAAACAAAAAAAACCCCAAAATGAGCCTTATTTATCGTCTGAATTTTCCTGGCTTCAGCTTCCATCCATTGGTTCTTTTTATACCTTTGTCTACTATATTGAAGAGTCTTCTGTTATCAAATATTTGTTCCTCAAGAAGGAACATGTAGATTGTGATCAACTCACCTGTTAACCTTCTCTTTGATAGACTCAAGGGACTCAATCTATTTAGCTTATCACTCAAAGGCATGTTTTTCAATCTTTTAATCATTCTTCAGCTCTTCTCTGAACTCTTTCCATTTTTCAAAATCTTTCTTGAACTATTGACAGAATTAGATATAAAATAACCTTTTGACCATTACTCAGTATTCCCTTTTGTAAACCGAAAGTTAGCATTAGCCCTTTTGGCCAAAGCATTGCACTGTGAGTTCATGTTCAGCTGATTATCTACTATGACCCCCGAGTCTTTTCAGAGTTGTTGCTTCCCAGGATAGTCTCTCTCCTCCTGTAACTGTGGCCTACATTCTTTGTTTCTAGATGTATGACCTTGCATTTGGCCATATTGAAACACCTTGTTTGCCTGTGTCCTGTTTACCAAGCGGTCCAGGTCACTCTATATCAGTGACCTGTCCTCTTCATTATTTGCCAGTCCACCAATCTTTGTGTCATCCACAAACTTTATCAGTGATGATTTTGTTTTCTTCCAGGTCATTGATAAAAATGTTAGTATAGGGCCAAGAGCCGATTAACAGTAACATTTAGAAACTTGTCAGTTAGCTGGCTTTTAACCCATTTCATATGTGCCATGTTGATTTTGTATTCTAGTTTCTTAATCAAGATGTCGTATAGTTCCAAGTCAAATGCATTATAGAAGTCTAAATATATTACATCAACACTATTACCTTTTATCAGCCAAACCTATCGTCTTGTAAAAAGATATCAAGGTAGTTGGAAAAGATCTAGTTTCCATAAACTCATAGTGACTAGCATTTAATTATAATTCCCCTCCTTTAATTCTTTATTAATTGAATCCCATATCACCTGCTCTGTTGTTTTGCCTAGGACATGGGTTCTCAGATTTAATTGCACCGTGACCCCCTTCTGATAACAAAAGTTGCTACATGACCCTAGAGGTGGGGATTGAAGCCTGAGTCTGCCCGAGCCTCGCTGCCCTCGGGGGAGGAGGAGACAAAGCTCAAGTCCCACTGCCATTGGCAGAGGGCCCAAAGCTGAAGCCCAAGAACTTCAACCTCAGGTGGTGGGGCTCGGGCTTCAGCTTTGGCCCTGGGCGGTGGGGCTTGAGCTTTGGCTCCAGGCCCCAGGAAGTCTAATGCCAGCTCTGGTGACCCCATTAAAATGGGGGTCCCCACTTTGGGTCCCAAACCACAGTTTGAGAACTGCTGGCTAGGATTAATAGCAGGCTGACAGGCCTATATTTATCCAGATCTTCCTGCGTATCCATTTTAAATATTGGCACATTATTAGCTTTATTTCAGTCCCCTGGAATTTTCCCAGTGTTCCAATAGTTACTGAACATCAACATTAATGATCCAAAGTGCTCATTAGCCAGCTCTTCTAAAGCTCTTGGGTGCAAGTTAGCTGGATCTGCTGATTTAAGTGTCTAACTTATTAGTGGCTGCTGTTTAATGTCAGACTTAATTACTATTAGAATGAAAAGTATTTCTTCATATGCTATATACAGTTGCTTCTGTCACTAATACAGAACAGAAATATTTATTGAACCCTTCTGACTTTTCTGCATTATGATTGACAATTCTACCATGTCTGTCTAGGAATGGACCAGCACCGTTGTTAAGATTCCTTTTTGGTTTTGATATACTTTACAATAAATAAATAAAACCTCCTTATTGTCCTTAACTCTGCTTTCCATAAATTTCTCATTGTGTCCCTTTGCTGGTTTACACCAGCTTTAGTAACACATTATGTCAGAAGCCTCATTGGATTTGAGACTTTGACCCAGCAAATCACTGGCCTCCCACTCTCTTTAAAAGTTGAAATGTTATTCATACATCTGGATTTTTTGGTATAATTTTAATGTCTGAATTGACTGAAATTTAGGAGCCATTGCTTTCCACTGATAAAGGAATTGATTTAGAAGATTTTAGCAGGAGAAGAGGTACTAATGAATAGTAAGAAAACTGTAGGTTACAGCTACCAGTACCACAGAGATCCCAAAAAAACTTTGTGTGAGGAAAATGTATGGTTGACTGCACTGGTAGCTCAAGAATGAAATCCGGTGATATACCTTCAGAGCACAAGCATTAAAAGGGTACTTCGATCATAAATTGTGTTCCTCTGAAAGCAAGTAATTTTCTCATAAGTCACTTTAATATTCTTTTGTCATACTGTTAAATTTTCACTATTAGACACCTTTCGCAATCCAGATAAGTGAGGGATTGTCACCACCTGCCCTGCAACCTTGGGTGCCTCACAATGCTTTGATGATGTAGCTCCCAACCTGGGCCACTCACAGAAAGCCTGTTAGCATGCAGGTCACACACTGACTGTGTATAGCTGGAGCCCTGGTCCAGCAGCTCTGACCCCTAGCAGCCTGTCAGCAACACCACCGGTCACACTCTGGCTTCCACCAGCCTTGGTTACTACTTGCCGGTTGACCCCCAACACACTCCTAGTGCCAAATTTGTCCTACAATGAGAGTTCTTCACTATCCAGGCCACTCCTGGATACTTCAGATATTAAAGCTCAGTTGCCCTTGTAAAGGGTCAATATTCAACAGTTTGCCACTTTAACTGGAATTCCCAAACAGTTCAGTTTAAACACAGCATTGGATTGGTTTGGATTAAAAAATCTTAATTTATTATAAAAGAAGATAGGATTCGAAGTGAATTCAAGTATCAGGTATTAAAGTCAGAAATGGAGTACAAGAAAAATAAAGATGAAATGTTTTTTCTTAGCTAAAACTTAATCTAAATATGGTTAAAGGTAAAATCCTTACCATATGTTTCCAGCAACATGGCTGACCAAATTCTCAGGTCAGGATCTCCCCCCAAAATCAAAGGGCTGGTTCCTTTGTTGTCTTTGGTGAAAGAGAGTGAGTTTGAGGTTTTCTGCCATTTACTACAGACTAACACGGCTGCTACTCTCAAACCTCGTATAGTCCAGTTAATCTTTGAAGTGGATTCTTCTGAGGGTTACCCCTTAAAGCAAAGTTTATTCAACAGTAAAGAAGGTGACATGGAGTCTGGTGGTGAAGGAGGCTCCCATGCTCTTTCTTCTCACTTGTGTTTGGTGAAATGCAATTTTTCTTTGTCTCCTGCCATTTCCTCTGCCTGCTGTCTCACAGACCCTTTTTACTACTTATATATAAATAGAGGTCAACACACATTTCTTCGTTCAGAAACCTTCTGCCTGGGCAGGGCTGCTGCATGGGTTTGAACATGTGCTAAGAACATCAAGAGGGGAGATTTCATAACTTTACATATGTTGCTACATATATTTCACCATGATATTATTGGCCAGCGAGTTAGTTTTCACAAGGTATATTTTGTACAAAGGTTATTGTCGTGAGTAGAATGTGAATATGTGGTGCTTTCGGTCACAGTACCCAAAAAGGGAGAAAAGCCAGAGACTCCATGATGTCCACTAAGATCTTCACTATTCCTAATCTGTTTTATGTGAAAGGTGTTTGGACGTTGGGATAAGCAGCATCTTATAATCCTAAAATAGATAATGAAATCAGTAAGTATGCCTAATGAATTAGAACCATCTAAGTTCTCAAAACAGTGTATGGATCACTACCAGTATTGGTGTGGTCACTGCTCTTCCTGGTTATCCACATAGCCAGGAACAAACGAACCAAGAACCAGATAATGGAGGATTGAAAGATTAGAGGTATGGGAAGGGTCCATAAAACAAATGTTCTCTTATGAAATGGTGTGCAGAATGAAGATGGAGAATCATTGAGTTTGGGAAGACAGTTAATATCTTCCTGCTCCCAACTCAGAAGAGGAAATCAAACATCACTTAATCTGTGTCTGTAAGGTAGAAATAAGCAGAGCTATACCTGTATGGTCATCTGTAGCATTTGGTGTGGCTTTTCTAAACTCAGGGTGTGAAGATTTAATTTTCTAAATGTTATTTTTGATTGCTTGATTGCTTTCAACTTGATATTGTTGCAGTCCTATAAATATAAGTAGCAGTTCTATTTTATTTTTCACTGTAATGTTATAATACAAATGTTTTTAAATGTTAAATATTTTGATATAATTTAGTTTTCTATGTACAGTTCCTACCTGTTTATATACCTTCAGAAGAGGAAAAGAAAAATCCATCTTTGTATGCAAATAATGTCAGAAGTGTAATGGCAGAGTAAGTATGCTGATAATATATTGGATTATAGACTAGAAATAGACGCTTGATTTCACTTTGGTATCAAAAAGAAGTATTGAAGGTTATCAGTATTTGCCTGCCTGCAGATAAATGTAGGTTATATTTCAAAATGATATATTTAAAACTTCTTACATATTTTTAACTTTTCTTTCTGATGTATTTTGCTATTTGAGAAAAGTAAGAAACTGCAGTGATTGGCAGAAAGCAAGTACTATAGCAACACTAAACTGCCTTTATTGTAATTCCTTTAGCTTTCTATATACCTCAGATCTTAACATGGTACTTATCACATTTTGTTATGGTGTAAGAACTTGGCAAAAAGAAATAGTGACTATAACTTGAAGTTTAGCTTTGTAAGAGAATTTACTTGTTTAAAAGTTTTATGGCAACTTTATGGAAAAATCAGTTTTCATTTTATTTTTTGTCTAGTTAGAAATATATACAACCTTTAAATCAGTGTTTGAGTATAAATTCTACACATATTCATATGTCAAATTAAAGTAACAGCTTAGAAACTCTGATGAGATGACCGCCAGGCTATGTGGGTTGAAGGACACTAAGGCTACCCTTTGCTTGTTGGGCATGCATACCCCACAGTCTGCCAGAAAGCCATTTCAGCGTCCGCTGCCGTCGAGGCCTTGGCAAACTCGACAGGGATCTGGGTTTAACCATCGCTGCCCTTCCTCCTCTTGCTCGCCAGCCCAGCCTGGACCCACTAAGTACCCAGGGGGGCCAAAAGCAATCGTTTTGAGGGTGCGCTCGAGAGTGACACCCCAGTCATCTGGCTGCATCCTGCACATCGTTTCCTCAACCACCTTTTCCCTCCTGTTTGGCCTGGTCGCAGGTTACCTCTGACTGCTGGGTCCTGGACATAGTAGCTCGGGACTATACCCTGCAGTTTTTGGATACCCCTCCTTCCAGCCCCCCTGTTCCTTGTCTCTCTTCAGGGACCGCTTTCATGAACAACAACTGGTTCAGCAGGTCAACAAGCTCATGCAGTTGGGGGTGGTTCCTCAAGACATGGAAAGCGGAGGATTCTATTCCCCATACTTCCTAATCCCAAAGGCCAAAGGGGACCCTCAGACCCATCCTGGACCTGCGTGGCCTCAATAAGTCTCTCAAGAAGTTGAAGTTCCTCGTGGTCTCCTTGGCCTTCATTATCACCTCCCTGAATCTGGGGGACTGGTATGCCACTCTTGACTTAAAGGATGCTTGCTTCCATGTCTCCATATTCCCAGGACACAGACGTTTCCTGCATTTCATAGTGGCTGGGCGCCACTTCCAGTTCATGGTGCTGCCCTTTGGCCTGTCCTCGGCCACCAGGGTGTTCACGAAATGCATGGTGCCGGTAGCAGCTTACCTCAGACGTTGAGGGATTCCAATCTTTCTGTATCTCAATGGTTGGTTCATCAAGGACAGGTCTCCAGAGTAGGTGCATAGAAGTCTCAACCAAGTGCACTCCACTTGCAGCAAGCTGGGCCTGTTAATAAACATAGAAAAGTCCACGTTAACACCGGTCCAGCTCATAGAGTTTATCAGAGCGGTTCTGGACTCCACGCGAGCCAATGCCATGTTGGACTCCACGCTTTCAGGCCATGTTGGATCTCATTGCCCACATAAGGAGGCATACGATCACTACGGCTCACACAAGTCTGCGGCTGATGGGCCACATGGCAACATGCACGTACATTGTCAGTCAGGCCTGGCTTCATCTGTGACCTCTGCAGACGTGGTTGGCAACGTGGTCTATGTTCCCAACAGGCACCCCCTGGACCGAGTGGTCACGGTACTGAGCCACGTCCTCTTGTCCTTGGATCGGTGGCTAGACCCCAAGTCAGTGCTGCAGGGAGTTCCCTTTCTGTCACCATCACCATCGCTCATCCTGGTCTCAAACATGTCGGACCTGAGCTGTGGGCCCCACCTGCGTGAGCTCAACACCCAGGGCCGTTGGCTGCAGCACGATCTTGCCTTCCATATCAACATCAGGGAGCTCAAGGCAGCGTGCCGGGCCTCTGAGGTGTTCTTGCCCCACCTGAAAGGCAAGGTGGTGCAGGTCCTCATGGACAATACAGCGGCAATTTATTACATCAACAGGCAGGGTGGCGCCAGGTCGTCACCCCTATGTCGGGAGGCACTCAGCCTCTGGGACTTCTGCATGCCGTGCGGCATGCCATCCATCTGGTGGTCGCCCACCTTTCCGGAACCAAGAATGTCCTGGCAGATCACCTCATCAGCATCTTCTCATCTCACCACGAATGGTCCCTCCATCCAGAGGTGGTCAGCCTTATCTTCCAAAGGCGGGGGACTCCCCAGGTGGACCTATTTGCGTCCAGATGGAACAGGAAGTGCCACATATACTGTTCCTTGCACAGCAGAGACAAGTAATTCCTAGTGGACGCCTTCCCGATTCCATGGTCGGGAGCGCTGATATACGCCTTTCCGCCTTTGCCATTTGTCCACAGGGTCCTGCTCAAGGCAAAGCAAGACAAAGTATCTCCCATCCTCATAGCCCTGGTGTGGCCTTGCCAGCACTAGTTTGGCATGCTGCTGAGTCTTTCGGTGGCCGACCCGCTGCAGTTACCTCTCAGGCTAGATCTGCTGTCCCAGAACCACAGCAACCTGCCGCACCTGATGGCGTGGCTGCTGTTTGGCTAAGTACTGATGAGCGGGAGTGCTCAGCTGCAATCCAAAAGGTCCTGCTGGGCAGCAGGATACCTTCCACTAGGGCTACCTATGTTGCAAAGTGAAAGTGCTTCACATGTTGGGCCTCAGACAAGTACATTCATCCAGAAGAAGCCTTACTGCAGGACATCCTGGACTATTTGTTGCATCTTAAGCTCCAGGGCTTGTCTGAGGGAACTGGGATTGTTTAGTCTGCAGAAGAGAATGATGAGGCGGGATTTGATAGCTGCTTTCAACTACCTAAAAGAGGGTTCCAAAGAGGATGGATCTAGACTGTTCTCAGAGGTAGCAGATGACAGAACAAGGAGTAATGGTCTTAAGTTGCAGTGGGGGAGGTTTAGATTGGATATTAGGAAACACTTTTTCAGTAGGAGGGTGGTGAAACACTGGAATGCGTTACCTAGGGAGGTGGTGGAATCTCCTTCCTTAGAAGTTTTTAAGGTCAGGCTTGACAAAGCCCTGGCTGGGATGATTTAATAGGGGATTGGTCCTGCTTTGAGCAGGGGGTTGGACTAGATGACCTCCTGAGGTCCCTTCCAACCCTGATATTCTATGATTCTCTTCAGTCAAGGTACACCTGGCGGCCATTTTGGCGTTCCACCCGCCGCTTAAAGGCAGGTCAGTCTTCGCCAATCCCATGACGGGACGATTCCTGAAAGGTCTAGAACACCTGTACCTGTACATCCGGGACCAGGTCCCCCCGTGGGACCTGAATCTTGTGCTTTCGAAGCTCACGGGACACCCTTTTGAACCCTTAGCTTCCTCCTGCCTTCTGCTTCTCTCCTGGAAGGTGTCCTTCTGCGTTGCTATAACTTTGGCTGGCAGATGTCCTATTCGGTCTTCTACAAGGACAAGGTCCAGCTGCACCTGCACCTGGCTTTTCTGCCCAGGGTCGTTTCCCAGTTCCATACTGGCCAAGACATTTACTTACCGGTCCTCTGTCTAAAGCCTCGTAAATCAGATGAGGAGTGCAGGTTGCATACTCTGGATGTCAGACGGGTGCTGGCCTTCTACACTGACAGAACACGGCCATTCCATAAGTCAGCCCAGAGAATCTCATCTTAGATTGCGGCCTGCATCCGTTATTGCTACGAGCTGGCAAAACAGTGCCCCCACCGGCAATCGTGACGCTCACTCGACTCGGGCGCAGGCATTTTCGGTGGACTTCCTGGCGCAGGTGCTGATCCAAGAAATTTGTTGGGCCGCTACTTGGTTTTCTGTTCCTATCGCACTGTGCGCCGACCCAGCAGGCTCAAGATGACATTGGCTTTGGCAGAGCTGTACTACAGGCTGCACAGTGGTGAACTCTGAGCCCATCTCCATTGATACTGCTTGCAGTCACCTCGAATGGAATCGACATGAGCAAGCACTCGAAGAAGAAAAAACAGTTTCCTACCTTTTGTAACTGTTGTTCTTCTAGGTGTGTTGCTCACGTCCATTCCATTACCCACCCGCCCTGCCCCTCTGTTGGAGTTGTCTGCAAGAAGGAACTGAGAGGATGTGGGCTGGCAACACCTGATATACCTTGACATGAGTGCCACTCTAGAGGGCGCCACAGCTGGCCCTATGGGTACCGCTAAGGCAAAAATCTCTGGCCACACGTGGGTGCACGCACACCTAGAATGGAATCTACATGAGCAACACATCTTGAAGAACAACAGTTAAGAAAGGTAGATAACCATTTTTTTTTCAGCTAAATAGATTGACTCAAAGAGTACAATCAGACTATAAGGCATATTTTCTAATCCTTTTATCATTATCATGGCTCTTTGAGCCTTCTCCAGTTTATCAAACTCTATCTTGAACTGTGGACACCAGAGATGGACATAGTATTTCAGGAGTGGTTGCAACAGAGCCAAATAGAGAGAATAATCTCTCTCTTTGTACTTGAGATTCCCATGTTTATGCATCTCAGGATTGCATTAGCCCTTTTGGCCACAGTGTCGCACTGAGAGCTTATGTTCAGCTATTATCCACCTCAATCCCTAAATCTTTTGCAGATTCATGACTTCCCAGGATAGAGTCCCCCACTGTGTAAGTATGGCCTACATTCTTTGTTCCTAAATGGTAAATTTTCAGAATGGAAAGGGGTAACTAGTGGTGTTCCCCAAGAGTCAGTCCCAGGACTAATCCTATTCAACTTAATCATAAATGATCTGGAGAAAGGGGTAAACAGTGAGGTAGCAAAGTTTCCAGAAGATACTAAACTGCTCAAGATAGTTAAGACCAAATAGACCGTGAAGAACTTCAAAAAGATCTCACAAAACTAAGTAATTGGGCAACAAAATGGCAAATGA